GAGAACGGGCAGTGCTGTGGGAATCCAGGTGTGTATCTGGCTCAGGAAGTGCACACTATGAATCTCGTGTGGACCATGTGGCAGCACAGCTGTCAGAGGACAAACGAGGTGCCCTAAGATCTTGCAGACAATCTTTTTTTTTTTTTTTTTCAAAAAAAAGGGCGATGGCCTTGAGGTATTATCATCGGACTAACCAGCCCAGGTAAATTCAATATTGTGTCTAATCTGAGATCCGGTGGCCTTTTCAGCCCAGGGTGGCCTTGATTGCCTTCAGGGAACCCCCATCGGGGGACACCGGCCAGGGGACAGCCGGTGGCAGAGGGACCGAGCATCATCTGAGTGGCCAGTCGCTGTGCGTCCCCGATTATTCCTCCCCCTATGAACATCAGCAGAGACTGCTTTTTAATGCCAATTGGGGGGACCAACGTGCTATCTCTAGGTGGCGGGGCCAAGCATGCCCAGGAAGGTACATGAGGCCAATGGGGATTGAACCCAAGACCTCCTGAATGCCACTTGACAATGTGTCCCTTACCAACTGAGCTAGAGGTCCTCTGCTTTATCTATTTATTAAATTTTATTTTTGGGAAAGATCTGCTTTATTTTGTTTTCAGCTGTAAGGAAAAATTATATACCACTGCCCGCTCGTTTTGCGAACAGGCACCTATTCATGATGAGGTACCTGCATCTGGCACCCGATATGTGCTACATGCGGGCGCTCTCTCCTGTGGGTGTTTGGCTGGGTGTCAAGTAGTGAAAACAGCGGCCTCCTTTTCATTCCATCGCCTGACAGCAGGTCCAGCACAGAGGCCGGTACCGGGACCACCCCAATTTTCCAAGAGCTGGTGCCCATGGCTTTCAGGCTCGGCAGAATTCAAAATTTAGGCTCGTACATTTAGGGTCGGGTGTACTGGTGGTTTAAAGCCAGTGCACTCGGCAGGAAGGGCTCGCCCTTTCAGAGGATTTTGGAAGAGGATTTTGTGCACACAGCATGTGCACTGACTTCTGACTCTGTCAATATATTCACCTTTGGTTTTCAGGATCTTCAACGAGGTCCGCTGATCCAGCAGGAAGGGGAGAGCCTTCGGAGGAGGACCAGGTGGTTGCATCTGCGTTGCGGCAAAGCATATATGCGAGGCCTGGTGATCCAGATAGCTTCAGACAAATGGTGGCTCCAGGCACCCTGTACCATATTCTACGAATGCCCTGGGACGACTACAATGGAGGAGGAGGAGGAGGAGCACCGTATCGGCATGTCATTATGAAGGCGCAGAACCGTCATGACCGGTTCACAAAAATCGTTCTTTCAAAGAGAATGATTCTGGACCATCGGAGGCGGAGTTATCGTGCGGCGATCGATGACGTATTGTTCTCTTTGGAATCGCCACGGTCACAAGCTGGAGCGTATGGGGAGGGGGCAAGCTAGCCAGGCCCGATGAGCTGGAAGCAGCAACTGAGCTGCTACTACTTCGACAAGCACTGGCAACAATGCACCTTTGGAATCGCCACGGTCAGGAAGCGAGCCATCCAGTGGTGAGTTGGAAAGACCGATCGACGGCTGTTATTGCTTGCAGGTTGAGCCTGAAGGGGATCTGGACTGGGTGGGTGGGTGGGTGGGTGGGTGGGTGGGTGGTGGCCATACCTCTTTTTTTTTCCTTTGCAAGAGTCAGAGGCACTGGTCATCATGGAACTGACCAGCCGCGGCCCTCAGGTAAGTCGGCCTTATTTTTGCTCAACTGGTCGCAGAAGCAGGATTTGACCCCAGGTCGCCTTACCGACAGTTACATAGGGTGGTGGGTACCTCAACAGGCACTGAAGGAGGAATTGACTACTGTCGTGCGTTGCAGGACTTGGAAGGAGAACTGAACTGAGTGAGCTAGTGGGTGCTAGCTGCGCGCCACCTCAATAAGCAACGAAGCATAAGGTGCAAGGTGTGACTTCAAGCTACCACCTTCCCCCGAACAGAACATACGATAATTATAGCTGAATTCGGTGCAATTTTCATTGTAGATAGAGTATTAGTGATCCGTACGTTATGTTGGGGGGAAGACGGTAGCGATCCAGCAGCAAGCAGGAGGCATCCTTCTTACCGTGTGGCGGGTCTTCACTCTCATCCGAACCAGTGAGTTCGAACCGCCAAGCGTAAAAGGGTTAACTCCAATTAAGTGATTGGTGTTCTTCAAGCTATCGCTTGGGGGTCAAGCTGGAAGGAGGAGGGAGACTGGACCGAGGGCCTACTCGCACAACGACTTTCTCTACTAAGCTCTGGACGTGCGGTCAGGTGCACCCAGGTGCGCCATAATTGCTCTAAGTGTTGTAGTATACTGAGCTGTGTCTTCATCCTGTCGATCAGTCGCTATGTGCTTTTGATGGGTTTACCAAAGGTTCCATCATGAACCCATATCACATCGGTGAGTCATATCAAGCCTGCAAAATGTTTTCACTACTTATCCTCAATCATGTGTTTTATAGACTGATTGATTGAAATTCGGGCCTCAACCCATTGTAGTGTGTCGATTGACTGACTGATCAGTCAGTAATTGGCATAAAAGCATTGTTGCTGGCTATGCAGAGTTGGAACATACGGTCATTATGCCTGTACTTGGGCCAACTTTTAGTTTGATTGAAATTCGGGCCTCAACCCATTGTAGTGTGTCGATTGACTGACTGATCAGTCAGTAATTGGCATAAAAGCATTGTTGCTGGCTATGCAGAGTTGGAACATACGGTCATTATGCCTGTACTTGGGCCAACTTTTAGTTTGATTGAAATTCGGGCCTCAACCCATTGTAGTGTGTCGATTGACTGACTGATCAGTCAGTAATTGGCATAAAAGCATTGTTGCTGGCTATGCAGAGTTGGAACATACGGTCATTATGCCTGTACTTGGGCCAACTTTTAGTCTAGATACAGCGGTAATTCCCCTTGGGGCAAATGGCTGGAGCTACCATTTGCTTCCTGCTATCATAACTCCATTGCTTGGGGGCTGCTATCATAATTCCATTGCTTGGGGGGAATGGATTAGCCTTTGATGAACTAGCGTCTTCCCCCGAATAGAACGTACACCGTACGGTCATTTTGCCTGTATTTGGGGCAACTTCCAGTCTAGATGCAGCGATAACAACTGTACATTCTAGTCGGGGGGAAGACGGTAATTAATAATTATTAATTATGGATGGAATGAAACCCCAGGTCGGCGGTCGCCATTATCAGCAGCCATGATGCCACGGGACTGTTTGATCGATGAAACAGCGGTCTGATGCATCACACCATTGCTTCTGGGTGCAGTGAATTCTCTCATTGGACTGAAGTTGGCACTCATATAAGGCCAAAGCGATTGGTAATGTGATCCTTCCTTAGCGACGGCGGAAAGATCGGTCATTTGTAACGCGTCCAAGATGAGAGAGGACAAGAGAGAGGCATGGCTAATGAAAGGGTTTAAACTTTAAACTGTACAGTTCTTGGCAGCAGATTGAGCAGTTAGTTGCCTCTACAGCAGTATGTCGAAATGAGCCGTACTTAAGGATTGGCAGTCCAGTCACTCACAGTGTGCAAGGTGTGGACAAGAGAAAGGCACGTCAATGAAAAAAGGATTCAAGCTGTGATACTGTGCAGGGCATGAGGAGTTGTATCTGCACCCCTACGCCAGAATGAGCAGTATGCAGTCCTTTGAGGTACTATGTCGTACCACGGTACTATGCGGTACCATGCTGGTATGCGGTACTATGCGTTACTGTGTGGTACTCTGTGGTACTATATGGTACCGCGGTACTATGTGGAACTTATGGATCGAAAGGGGACCGGCTGTTCAACTGAACAAGGGGACCGGCTGTTCGACTGAACCGGCGGTTACTCCTGAGCCTTACTCACTCGTACTGTGCACGGTGGCTAGATGGCGTCAATGAAGAAAGGAGGAATGTGCAGTGAATGAGGAGTTGTGCCTGCAGGCTGCAGCAGTATGTCAGCATGAGCGATATGCGGTACTTGTCCCATTGACGGCAGACTGGTCAACGGGTTACATGCGGTAGTATTGCAGCACGCTAAGAACATGAGCAAGGGATGGTCGAAGCTGTGCAGTGCATGAGGAGCTGTATCTGTATATTCTGCAAATGCCGGTGATACAAAGTTCCGTCAACGGGTTAAGTGACCACACAGCGGTAACGCGAGACCAGTTGTTAAAGACCTGTCAACAGTGAAGATCTACCTTGTGGGTACAGTAATACGGGCAGCTTCAGATTTGTGGGTGGCGCATGAGTTCGTGATGATCGCTTTACTCTCTTCCGAATTGGTTTGCTGCACTCTGGACGACCTGAGGACTCATCTTGGGCTGTGCAGCGAGGATTCTTGCGCTGTAAGTTAAGTACTAAGTTATATATTTATGCCATTTCATTTTTGTCAGCCAATGCTACCTCCTGGATATTCAGGCCAACGCTTTGGCCAACGCTTTGAGATGGAACTTCATGGAAGAAAGGCCTGTGGTCATTGGGTCGTCGTTCCAGTTGATCCAACAAACCCTAAACTGAAAGGGGGCAGACGGCATGGTAGCCATGGCAGTTGTGACAGGCAGTGGTAGTTCAAGCTATTCAGTGATGTGGAGGGCATTATTTTTCATATTAGAACTGTTTCTGGCTGCATCTATCAGAGATTTGGTTCAGGTGCAGTCCGGAAAGTCCTAGAGCAAATGTCACCTAATGCGATGTTAGATTAACGCCATGTTGCAGATGTCGGCTAGGCAGTGATGATAATAAGTCGAGTGCATCGTAGGGTTAGTAGCTGCATGGTAAGGGTAGGACTTTTTTTTTCTTTTCAAGTTTGTGGGAACAAAGGCACAGATCCATTGTCTGTGTTGTCAAGAACGCCAGCTGAAAAAAGAGAGTCTGGAAAAAGTTCGAAAACGGGGTTGCACCCTTAGAGAACTGTAAATCTGTTTTGTTTTGGTTTTTAATTCCATTATGGTCTTGTTGGGGATAAATATTAAATATTGTTTTTTTCACTTTTCTCCAATTAGGTCCCCTCTTTTTCGAATGTTTTTCAGAAACATTTTAATTTTCCCATGGCAAGTATGTGTCGATAAAATTGGCAAACCATGTGTCTACAGTGTTGTGCCTCCGCGTTTAAGCATTTTAAGAAAAAAAAATTAAGGGGTGACACTATCGTGCCTCTGCGTTTAAACATCCTCTTTTATTTTTTTTACGAAGTGAGGGCCTTGAGATGTCATTGTGGAAGTGGCTTGCCCCAGGTAATTCAAGAATTTTCTTTTATCTAGTTCCTTTTAAATTATAACTCTGTTCAGCATTTTTACAGTTCATGGGTGTACCAACTAAGCTCAGCTCTTTGGTAGGCATCGTATTTCTTGTAAGTCTTGATGTTTTTAGAGTCTTCTAGATTTTTTCAATAATTCTTATCATGATTGTTATCAGCTCAACATAGTCTCAATCTTCTAAAATAAGAGAATGATTATGGGCCACTGACTGATATCATCGACTAACTAAGTAAATGTTTTCAATGATGATTCTCAAGGCATAAACAATAGAGTAATTATTTGGGGGGGGGATAGAAAAGAAGAAAAGCTTTAAAGAGTGTCACAGGTTTGTCAGTTGCCTTAGCCATAGTTTTATAAGTGACAGAGCTAGAGTTTGAAACTCTACAAAGTGCAATAAAAATTTTGTCAGTCTTTTGTTTGAAATCTTAATAAGTTGGTAGTGGGTCTCGGGTATGAATCATAGAAATTTCGTGGCCGGCGCTAGTAGGAATGTAGCTTTGAAATGCTTAACCACCAGCTATCGACCGCAGAAAAAGCAGAGAGTAAAGGTTTTTAGTCAGATGAATTTGGGCGATCCCAAAGTGGGCCGTAGGTTTCCTAAAATTGTGGCTTGTGTATGGGCACTACTTTAGGAACCACTGGTGGTTTAAAAGAAATTTGAATGATAACAATTAAAATAAAGTACATATATAATACATATGTATTATCATACTATTATGTATATATGGATATACATATATAAGGTAAAACAGAGTTGCTTGGTAAATCGTAGGCAAAGAGGGAGAAAAGGCTATATGTATATACATATATTATACATATGCATAAATGTACATATATATAAATTATTGTCAGGAGTGTTGAGTTGCCATTAATGAACAATCAACATAAAAGATGATGATAACACTATGTCCCACAACTTGGCAATGATTTTCTGCATGACTAAGTTAAGGATCCAACAGACTGAAGAAACGTTAAATGAAAGGTTCATAATGAGAAGTTGCCCCATTCTAAGCTAAGGCGAAATAAAGTCGATGACACAGATAAGTAAGAATATGGTTTTACTCATCATTTATTAATCATAAGATGTTAAAAAAATACAATGAGAAACCTCTAAAAGGTCAAAGGTTGATGTGTTTATGGATTTGTAATCAAAATGACATAATAAATAAATTATAAATATATGAATGAGTCTCATATAGTCAATTGTTTTTATTTTTATTTTGAAGTGCCACAATCAAATTAACCACCAAAAAAATGAACAAACACTTAATTATGTTACAACCGTATATTTTTTTAATTGATGACAATGAAAGTTTCATGTTGCTGGAGTCGATGCTTCGTTATGATAACCTTTTGGGGAAAGTGAAATGGCGGATGAGCAAAATGCGTTCGGCATTACGAAAAGTTCACACCTTATTTTAATTATTTAATATGAAAATTTTGTTCTTAAAAAGTAAGAGTGTACCGTATTATTTATCCATAACAAGTATAAATTTGTTAGTCTTCGTGTATAAAATTTTGAGAAAAAACTTCTAGTTTGAATAAGTTAACAAGAGAAAGCAAAATCATTGAGAAGGACTTTGAAGGGCAATTAGGCAGTCCTAAGTTGATAGTTTAATTCATAAAAAATAGGTTGTGTGTTTATAAATGAAGTATCCAAGAACTTTCTAAAAAAGATGAGAGCTTAAAAGTGTAAGTATCGTATAGGAAGGAATGATTGTTTTAACTAGCAAATCTACCATCATTGTGCAAATAGTCTTGCTTTGATTGCCTTCTCGTATAGTACAACTTTATTTTCAGGTTGGTGATCTTCTATAGCCCAAGCAGTGAGAAAATAAATCAGAAAGTTATGGACCCTATTGCAAAGTTACTTGTTTATTTATAGTCACAAAAGGTTCTTAAACCACCAGTACCTTCGCCAGTGTTGGAAAATTACTATTTCTTGGTCAGTGCCCGAATTTTTCGGGGGTGGGACACAATGTCGGGCCTATCCCATAAATCAGATTTTATATTGTCCGCGAGTGAAAATAAAAGGAAAAAAAGAAAATACTATCTTTAATGCAATGATGTCGGGCAGGGTAGTCTTGGAGACCGTGCTCAAAGTCTTCCTCCACAGAATGCACCTCACCGGTAAGGCGGTCACGTTCGGGATGTTACTGTTTTTTTTCTTTTTCTTGCTCGTGTGTTTCTTATAAGTCGCCTGCCAATGAGGCGGGGGGGAATTCGTGAATTGCTCAAGTCGTTCGTGATCTGTTCAAGCTGTGTTTTGTTAGAGGATTGTAACAATCATCACACTGGTGCTAAGGGGAATATATCCAACCATTTTCACGACCGGATCCGTGTGTTCGTTTTTTTCCTCTTCTGTTCTCTTTTTCGAATCTGACAACCTGACCACGGGACTGAGATGCCCTCACTGAGGGCTCACTCACACTACCACTTCCAAGAATGTATACAACTGCAATCACGGCCAAAACTTTGTTTCGTTTTTTTTTTCTTTTCTTTTTTTATGAGTTCACAGCCGCAACTTTTTTTTTTTTTTTTTTTTTTTTGTTCCTTCCGTGAGAGTACGAGAAAGAAAACGGAGTGGTACCCAGGCTTGACAAACTCGGAGCGCAATGAAATTCAAGGTCGGCAAAAACAGACTCAGAGGTACTGGTGGTTTAAGAAAAGGTGGGCTCAATGGACAATTTCCCAACACACCTTTGAGATTCATAAAAAAACATTAGCTTCGTTTTTTTTTATAAGTTATTGAATGTTTGAAATCGTTTTGAGGAGAATCTCAAGCAAAACCTTCCTAATGATTTACTGCATGTCCTCCAACATCCAGTTGTCCAGTGCATGTTGGAATATATTCTTAAATGTCATAATCCTATACCAACAATTAAAGAAAATAAAAAAGGGCGAATTTAATATTTTGATTTAGATTAAAACACAATATTTAGTAACACCAATGTGGAGTGAGAAGATGTATGTGGGATAGGAAGGGGTAGGAAGGGGTAATTGTTATATGGGATGAATTCTTAATGTCAAGATATGTGAATCATAATGTGATACAAATCTATACGTTTGATTGACTATTCGCGGACATAATAAATATTAGTTATAGCATCAGAGAGTAGCAAAAGGGATAAGATTAATGAAAATGGTTTGATATAATTACCAAATAGAGAGAATGCACACATGAAGAGTAATAGATATTAACAAAAAATATAAGTGAATAGATATTAAGTTCTGCGCTTTGCATATTATACATGTCAATGTCTCATTATTCGTTCACAAAAAAAAAAACCATCATGCATTGTGCATGACTAGTGAGGTTTGGACTAGGATGGTTGGCATGACTCAGTTATATGACACGACGAATGAACATGGTGGAATATTTGAATACTGAATATCACGGGCAACAAATATGTGTGCTATAGAAATTGGATTGTCAAGGATCATGTATATTATCAATAATAATATGTTCTTACATTATTTTTGATATGTTTTTGTTTTTTTTAACTTATGTTTTGTATGCTTTGTACTTGCGGGATTTAAAAGAATAAAGTTCAGTTACTGAAGTTTTTTTTTTTTTTCAACACAACTCACTCACAACCCCATTTATTCTAATAGGGGGCAGTAGTCCGGTTGTTTACCACTAGTAGTTATTTTTACAAAAACAATTCGGCAGTGTGCCTAAAAAACACTTCGACGGCGTGCTTCGGTAAGAAGGGTAGGATTGTAGAGGTCACGAGGCTCACTTTGGTATCTTGTCTCGTCTTTCCCTCTTATTGCGCCTCTCACAACCGTTGATATCCACTTGGGGTCCCAACCCCCAAATCAAACCATCCCCCCTCAACCCTCTCATTCCCTTTCACCCCTCCCGTCTCTCGTTTCCCTCGTCCTGGCTCATTACCCTGCCCCCCATCCACCCGTACCCCGTTCCTCATAATTCATTTATTTTCAAGTCCCACCTTCTTTCCAGTTTTCAAGTAGGTAGATCATCACTCTAATTCATGACCTGCCTACCATACCTACTTTATTTTATCCACTTTCCTTTCCTCCAAAATTCCTCTTAAATTCTTTAGGTTCCCTTTCTCGCGGCCTTCTACTACTTCCTCTCCCCTTGCTTTGTTCTTATTTCCTCCGCTTTACATCTTCCTCCAGCCGTTTTTATCTGCTCCGTTCCATTTTTGTACAATTATTTTTCTCGTTTTACCCCTTCCAGTTAGCATCTATGCACTGACCTCCCCTTTGTCTTACCATTATGTCGCCTTCCTATTTTAAGTTATTCCAACCCTATCCTACTTCCCCTCTTACAATCATTGGTGCCCATCCTCCGTACGATTCCATTCTCATTCAATGTTCATTTTGTTGTTGAGGAATTGTCCAAATTGCAAATTGTTGATATGCGTACCCATAGAAACCAAAGAAAGATACAGGCCTCAAGCGCAGTGAAAGACCGTTCCTTGGCACCTCGCAGCTTCGCCAAGCCTATGGGCATCCTGATAAAAATTTGCATGTATGAATGCCCAAAGGTTCTCTTGGGCATATGCGATGGTTTTGGTCGTAGAGGAGGGGTGGCATCAGGCATTTTTTTAAAAAAATCATTTTACATTTGTTGGTGGTGTTGTAAGGGGTGATACGAGCATACCCCGGTAACACGCCTTCAGATGACTCTTGTCTATTGGTGGGAGCAACACCTGCTCGAAAATGAGTTTTGTATCACATACAATTATAAAAGCGAACACTTGCATCTCCTCATTCCTATTACACTGTATTCCCCAGATCAGGGTCGCTCGCACCGTCTTCACCGTCCGGGCATCTCGTCCTTGGTGGCCTGC